CTCCAGAACTAATGTATACAGAAAATAGAGCCTAAAGAGACCATGGTTTTCAGTGGCCCTGCAGCGACACACTGTCAAATAAAGAGGTTTACATTTTAGTGATATGCATACTATGTTTAATGTTATTTGTAGTGGATGTATCTACAGTATCACTAGCGAATGATGCACAGCAATGTTTTTTCCCAATAATACTGGCACAGTACCAATGTTCCAACCACTATTGCAGCACGTTCAATGTTACATACTTGACACACATAACTTTGGGCTGTATGTGGAACAAGGGAAATTTCATGTTACATGTTTGATAAATGAAAAACTTCCCAATTCTCTAGTTGTGTTGATGACATGGACTGCTGTGTTATGTCCAACATAAACTGGACCAAAACCGAGCAAATATTTGCAAAACTACTTCATTTGCTAATCCAGGAAAACGTGCCATTTCTGTTAATTGGACAACAAAACACTGACACTGCAGTCAGTTGGAACGACTCCAAATTGCAACCACAATAATTCAATACAAAGGTACCAAATTGAAAAGCTAACATTAGCTTGCTAATGATGCCGACATATACATGTTAGCCAGCTACAGTATTTACACACCCAGAAGGAAGAAAACCACATCTGCATCAAATTTTTGTCCTTTGGATGCTTTTAGTGCTCTCCATCTCCAACATGCCAAACCGATGTTAACCCTGGTTTTGCCTTGTTCTTTGTCGCAGTCTTTGTGTGCTACAGCCCCTTGGGTATAACGGGTCCTGCACAGGGAGCCTCTATGGCCTGTCTTTGAAATGAGCCATACTGATTTGAAAAATGCGTCTTATAACCTCGTATCAGCGGGGCCATCTAAGAAGTGTGGAGTGGATTTTAACAGCAGTGGCCACAGAGGGCAAGAAATAAACACAAGGCCTGAAGATAGCAGAGTGGGGTGGGGGCTGGTACAGCGGGGAGAAAACACTTCTAGACATTTTTTTTACTTGATTTCTCTGAATTTGTGCTAAATCTTAGTTAATGCAGGTTTAAGCATAATTTTATGTACATCAAAATCAGTATATTAATTTTTTGCTACTTTATACTTAGATACCAGTATATGATACTTTCACTTCACTACATTTCAGAGAAATACTGAACTTTTTCTCCTCTAAATATATTTAACAGCTGTAGTTATTGATTACTTTCACGATTATCATTTTATGCAAAAAACAAAACTGAAAAAATGCAATACATTGTTTAAGCATAAACCAGTTGTGACTCCTTACAAATAAGCAATTGGCTTCCAGTAGTATATTCTGTACATAGGAACAAAAATGCATCTATCAGTATTTCTCTGGTCAGATTAAAGTGGGTTTTGGCTTCATGGTACAGTGACATATGGTACAGGCAGTGTGAAAGAATTTCCCTGATATAAACTCAGTGGTGTTGAGTCATCTGGAAGCAGGGGAGCTCTAGCTGGACTTGTATGTTGGGAGACATGAGGAAGAGGGAGAATGCAGAGAGGAGGAGGAACACTGAGAAAAGGGAAATTTAAAGAGTGAGATCAGATGAATGTTGACAGTGAGAGTTAGTGTTGGTGAGAAACAGACAGGTGCATAGCTATAGGGAGAAAGAAAGAATAGACAAAGGGGGTGGGGGTGGCAGAGCTGGTCCTTCTGTTGCTGTGGCCCCCCTCTCCTCTCCTCGCTGGTCCTCTGGAGGTTTTCCAGAGAGCCCTGCTGTACTTAATAAAAGCCAGTCAAGCACCAGGCAGTGCTCCAAGACCTGCTATTTTTCTCCACTTCCTTCAAATCTGGGCTGGAATTTTAAAGGAGAGGTTGTGGATAAAAGAAGCAGGTATACAGAATTTAAAGAGGGAATTTAAGATGCTTCAATCTGCTCTCCTCTATTGGATTTTGTCAAAATATAAAATATGATGGAAAGAGAAGAAAATAATCAGCTCTTAATTTGTAATGTGCAGCAGACAGATTCCTGTAGCTCCCAATTTCAGGGTCCTCATAATGGAGTAAGTGTATTATATGGAGGTTCAGCAAAAACACTTGTGAATAATTTGAAAAATGTTCATCTTTGAATTTTCTGGGGCACAGTAGGAAGCTATGTTAGTTACAGTTCATTGAGAGATAATGCTAGGGCCTTGTAGAAGGAGTAGAGGCAGAAATGTTTACAGAAGAGTTGTCAGAACTTGTCAGCTGAGCAAGTACTATGAAGTCACTGAGTGCATGTGCCTTTGGGCTGGTTTGAAAATGTCTGTGTAGGAAGAACAAGTGAAAGAAAGGAGGAAAGAGGGATAAAGAGAAAAGAGAGGAGGACTGTGTTTCCTCTCTGACCTTGGCTAAGGTTTCACTGAGCCTGCGGTGTCTCATGACCCTGTTTAGATTTGGTACTGGGGCAGTGGCCCTCTCAGACCAGTTACACTCCTCATCTCTGCACAGGCGCAGATAGTATTCCTAGATTATCTCATTCGTTAGTTTCTAACCTGCCTTCTTGCCTTTCTCTGAAATGATTGCTGAGCCTCATTCCAGATGGGGGCAAGTGCACAGTGTTTTTAACAATATGATGAGTGTGTTTTGTGTGACATTTTACAGTTAATTACACATAAGCCTGCTTTACACAGCTTAAAGTACTGTAATCATTTTTATTCTAATCACATTCAGTAACCAGTCGTCCTTGTTGGTCATGTTGAAAGTAAATTTTCCTGTCGGACAACAGTAAAACTTCACTCGTCTGTTACTGTAGTGATGTATCATTGTGGAATTTCCAAGCAAATAGTTAAATCAAAACCGAGAGTCGCCCTGTCAGTTAGGTATGCACCAGCAACCTAGAGCAGGAAACTGCATGTCCTTTAACAACATGCATGTTAATGGCATCTCCTAGCTGCATGAGTTATGTCTGTCTCTTTAATTTACAGTAGGCGTAAGAGACAAAGAGCTTTTCCGGTCTTGTGGTATACATAATAATACAGCTGGACTCCACATAAGATATGTAGCCTAGTTCAAAGGGCTGTATATCTGCAGCAAAAAATCTCTTTGACACCAATTACTGTGGTATAAATGCCCCATTTTTGAGCCAGTCATGGTAACGCCCCTAAAATGCCAGGTCAGTTTCTAATCAGTTTCTAATTTGGGGGCGGCTGTGGCTCAGGAGGTAGAGCGGGTTGTTTCCTAACTGGAGGATTAGCGGTTCGATTCCCGGCTTGTCCAGTCAACATGTTGAGGTGTCCTTGAGCAAGACACTGAACCGGTGTCACCGGTGTGTGAGTGCTTGGGAGTGCAAATGGGTGAATGGCAGAATAATGTGAAAGCGCTTTGAGTGTGCTGTAAAAGCATAGAAAGGTGCTATACAAGTATAAGACCATTTAATCAGGGTGCGTGTGGATCAGTGGGAGAAAAAACAAAAAAGCCAAATGTGGCCCTGGGTTTCAGCACATTCTCATCATATCAGCCATGAAATAAAGCAAAGAAACCACAGCCTCCACACCAGGGTCCAGCCTGTTTTCATCTGTTTTCCTCAGCTTCATGTGTCATACCCGAAGGTGTTTTTGCATCAAAGTATGATGAAGAGAGTTACATAGGAGGATACAGAAAGAAAGCACGGGAGAGAGGCAGAAAACACACATTTTCAGTTATTGAACTACAGTACAATGCTCTGTTCACCAAAATGATGCAATTCTAACTGACAAGAAGTCGGCTCCTGCCTATGGCTATTCATTCTGCAGAACTCAGACAGCTCCTGCCATTTGCTGTTTTTTTCTACTAAGTGGTTTTGCTTTACGTGAGGCATTACTGATACTCAAAAACACTGAAGGAGGTACATGATTTAGTTTAGTTTAAACCATGAGGGCTCAGAATGTCACGTGCTATGAAGGGTATTTTTGTAAGGTTTCCAAAGTGCTAAAGAAACGTATGAGACATTAAAGCCAACGGCAAATCCCGACATATTTAGCCATGCTGTCAATGCAGAAGGTTCTTCTGGTCACTGAGCCCTTGGTGATGACAGCAGTTGTCAATAGCTGTACTGGGAACTTCTTTGACCTCTGGTGAAACATGACTGACTAAAGGCTATTTTATACAGGTGGCTCTTACTGCAGAAAACGATAGTGTTTTATTGATGCATGTGCAGAGATGTGACAATGAGCTGATCATGATTGATAGTTTAAGTAGTTTTTAAAACAAAAAGCCAGACATTGCCTCCTTTCAGCTTATCAAATGTGAGAATTTGCTGCATTTGTTCTTGGTCTGACCTCATTGATATAAATGGGTTGGACAAAATAACAGAAGTGCCTGTCAGTATAACCCCATACGTCTTCCAAAAATGACCTTACTGTTGAATCAGCACCTTTTGAAAACTGTTTCATCAAAAACTGAACATTAACACTATCAAAAAGGGAGGATTTATTGGAGGACTGTTGTATTCATTAAGGTTATTATTCTTTAGTTTTAGGCAGGTGTACCTAATGAACTATATCTATAAATAACCAAAGATACCTTGACAAATCAAGGTATAGTATTTCACCAAATTTATATTTCCATGAAATAGTCCTGCTCTTTGATTTGCAGCACTGCCTAAAATGGCCTAATACCCCTAGAAACACAAAAGGCATAGCTAATTTGGTATGAACGGTATGGAAAAGTCTCGAATGGCTGACAAACTTCTCACAGTATCTATCGTCTTATCCTGTCTTGGCTAAAGGACAACTGAAGGCGTTCCCTCAGACTGATTTAAGGTGTGCTCTCTGAGAAGCGAGGTGCTTCTTAATCTGGTAGCCAGTGACTGAATGTCATTTAAGAGCTCTGGCAGACTCCCATATCTGTGACTTTGTTCTTCTGCACAGGGAGAAAGAGTGAGAGAAAGAGATACTGCAGACAATCCGAAGCATCCTCATGTTGCAGTTACTGGATCTCGTTTGTCACATGTGCCTGAATCTCTCCAATTAGACCGTCTTTTTGTTTTAAGTGCATTGATGCAACCATCCAAATCATTATGTGAATGAAGATTATAGTCACTTAACAGCTCTGGTTTTTGAACAGTCTGTACTATGAAGGGGGTTTGGTTGACAACATAATTAAGCTCTTTAATAGATGTAAGCACTGTTGTTCCCCTTTTTGTTGTCACTATTGCTGAGATAACTTTTAATCAAAGCCTTCCAGTATATCAGTCATCTTCTGTGAATCAGTGGTTAAACATGAAAATTAATTACCACTTGAAATGGTGAGAGTGCTTGTAAAGAGTTGCTAAATAGGCTTGGGTCGCCAACACTGGAAAAGTGTCACAAAAATAAAATTTAAAAAAAGGCAAAAAGGCGTGGGAGTCAGAGCGTAATTCACTGAGTACCTCTAATTACCTTTTACCAAGTTGCACATTTCTGCATTAAAGTAACACACTGGTGGTTATGGCTTAGTCCCCTAACAGCAATTTGTGTTTAATGTGCATTTGCCAACCATTTTTTAAAGTGTACCATATCTTGGGACTTCCTACAACATAGGTGGACATTTGTTCCTACTCATCAGTATCGTGGGAAAATTAGCTCAGACTTGACTCTTACTCAAGACAGGACAATAATCACAATCATTTAGTAACTTGGGTTATCTATGTTATAGATACCTATAGATAAAATCACTACAGTGCTTTCTTCTTGTTATAGATAACGCCATGTTATCTTTAGGTGCTTTCACACCAAACAGTTATACAGACTTAGTTCTAGGGACTACCCCTCTGGGGAGCTCCCCCAAGAACTGCATACCTTCATAGGCTTCTTTTCTATTTGTAGTCTTACTAACAGTAGGAACGCTTGCAACGGTTAACACATAGCGACATTATATTATTGTTAAGAACTTTCTTTATATGCTGCTAACGTGAATTATATAATAAGACACTAACCCTCCACAGAGGTTTCTGTTGGCGGACCTCACCTCCCCGTGCCGCTGGTGATGGCTGTTGATTGCTATTGTTTATATGGCTAACATGGTTTTTAAAAATGGCAGTTAGCAGTGGTGAGGTCAATGTACACATACATCACCCACGGTTCCTACTGTGCTTAGAGAGTACATACCCTGAAGTAGGAGCTAAGAAGTCCCTCAAAATGGTGTTTTAAAAACTATTATCGTTCTCAGTCCCTGCAGTGCGGATGCACAAAAAAGGGCAGTTTGTATAAATACTTCAGAAAATGTTCATGCACTAAATGAGGTATGCTAAACATGTAAACTGGATAAAATGCTTTTTGCTTGAATTGTGCATTGATATTTCATATGATTTCCTGCCAACTGAGTCAAATGGCCAACACATTTTTGTCATTTCTATATGCACGCTATGCATAAAACTCATGTAATTTAAAATCCAACGTTTTATTTTTTTAGATCAGTAACATGTACATCAGTATTGTTTTCCTCTTATCCAGTCCAACTGATGACAGTGGTATTTGTTGGTTTCCAGTTCCCAAAGAGGGTCTGAAAAACCAGGCAGCGTTCGAAGAGATGAGGGTTAATTACATTAAGGAGCTACGACGTTCAGTGGGAAAAGCAACCAACAGCTCCGGCCAAACCTGGCAGCGCTTCTTCCAGCTCACCAAGCTACTAGATGCCATGCATGATGTAAGTACCCTTGCTTTATCTACCTTCCATGTGCCAGTTGCCTACAGTATAACACAGGTTTCCCTTGGCAGCCCCTCTTTATCTCATACCATCACATACAGAGCAGGGTGTCCACTGGCATTTTGGGCCTCTAATATCACCAGAAATATTTAGAGTAAAATGGCAGAAGAGTGGATTTGAATTTACTTAGCAGTTCAGTGGTGCTGTGGCTTGGAATAAGGACTATTGCATCCTAATCTCTCCCTAAGGGGAAGGTTATTTGGGAGGAGGTGGTGACCAGACTGTATTGGTGATTAGAACAGAGGACGATCAATGCTAGTTCTCTGTTTATTGGATCAGAGTGTGCGGTGGTCACTGTGAAAATGTGCTAAGTCAGTGTTCTTTTTTTATGCACGGGTCAACCATTATGTGGCATAATGACAATGTAGGACCCAAAAGGTCAGATGGTCAGAATTCACTTACCCTAATGACTGAGTGAACAGGATTAGTGCTTCTGTAAAAGGGAGTTTGCCCAGAGAATAAATTATTGGTGCCCCAGGTAGAGAGCTGATAAGAATGGAAAAGGGGTCAGCTGTTTTTTTTTTTTTAAACAAACGAATAGGCAATTTAAAACGCTCTAACTTCTCGTTCAATTTTGTTTCTATTTTCCAGCTGGTGGGGAACCTGTTGGACTTCTGTTTTTACACCTTTCGTGAGTCCCAGGCCCTGAAGGTGGAGTTCCCTGAAATGTTGGTGGAGATCATCAGTGACCAGATAACAAAGGTGGAGTCAGGCCTCACTCACACAATCTACTTCCACAAGAAGTGACTCACTGAACAATTGGGACACATGTGGTATTAATAACTGGAAGAGGGGAAGCAAATGTTCAAGGAAGAGAAAATGTGCAAAGAAGGCCTGACCAGTTGGCCTGCACCCTGTCACCCAGTATGCCAGCATCCTCATCTCGGATGGGAAAGTTAAGTGACATGGTGGCAGAGGAAAAAGGGGAGAAGGATTTCACTCTGCCATCACCGCGAGCGGGTCAGAGCTGTGAATAGTTTGTGAAGTCGAGCACGACATGCAGAGAACGACTTGTGGCAAATGTGACAAGGCATCCTGAAGTACCCCCTGTGCCCCCTGCCCCAAAGACGATAACAGTATTTTCTATGGAGATAAAGCCATACACTTCTTAGGATGCGACAGATATGTTCACTAATGCACATATGCACGCACACATTCACACACATGTAGAGGGGAGTTGAAAAACATGTTGTCCACATGCCTTCACACAAATGCACAGATGCACTCCACATGCACTAAAATCAGATTCCCTTACAAATCTACTTAAAACTATTTTGCAAATATTAACTTGGCTTATGCAGTCTTTCGTAAATAATAGCACTATGAAAAAAATATGCCAATACTTAGATTTTGCTTTGCAGTGTAGCAACATGCTGCAGGACTACAGGGCAAAGGACATTATGAGGAGGCACAGAAATTCTAGACTGTAAGGCTAAAGGTCTATCTAAATATATTCCAAGGGCTATCTATACAAGTGTCGTCATATGCTGAATGATTACATTAAATCTAAGAAGTCCAAGTTTGAATCTCAATCGGTGTCATAAGAGCCATCATTAACATTAACATACTGGGTTTTTTAAAATCCAAATATGAAGAAAACAATCAAAACTAATATGCAAAAGTCCAAATCTAAAGTTGTCTTGAAATGTGTCTCTTGTGTAAAAGAAAGCTTGCACGTGAAGCACTGACATCATTATTAAGTCACTATTTTAGGCATTGTGGTGAAGAATTAAGATAGTAGTGACGAGTGATTTTACATTTGTGCAAAAATGGTCAGGATTGCTGCAGGATGGAAAACATCACACATTTACAGAAACGGTTTCAACAGAGCCTGCTGCTGATGGATTTGACTGAGGTGCATCCATAGTAATTGCTGTCATTTGTGTTATCTCCAGAGCAGCTGTCCAAATGTCTGTTTTTACTCACAATGAAGCAAAACCAGCCCTTTGTGAACCAACACTTATCTACTCTTCCCAGAAATAATGAAACAAGCATTTTATAAACGTGTTGCAAAGGTTTAGTTTTTGAGAAGCCAGTTATTTTACATTAAGGTGCTTCATTTCTAAAAAGCCAGGCAAAATATAATATGTACAGTAACTTGTTGTCAGTCCATACAATACACTATATGGACATACAGTTTAAACACATACTCTGTAAAGTTGATATAATCCTAAATTGGAGCATTACTCTGCAGTGCTTTCAGCAAATTGCTATGTATGAAAACCAGGCAAATATGTACAGGTATTAACAACATAGACACATTCTATTCAGCTGTTGTACAGAAGATGTTTTGAGGTACATGTCGATGAATGCTTGATGAAGAACTGCTGGTATGATCACCTATCTTAACTGAGTTTATTTCCTTTCTCTTATCTTTGGACCAACTATTACTATTTTAGCTATGGTAGGCCCAGTCATCTGGACCATTAACTTGTCTCACACCCCACTGGGTCTGGGAGGTTGTGGAACACTACTATGATGCTACTGAAAAGCGAAGGAGTCACTGGGGCGGTAAAACAGTGGGGGCATGTTTTTGTTTTTATGTGTGTGTCTTGTGAGTGTGTATTTACATGTGTGTATGGAGCAAGTATAGCTTAAGTTTGTGTTTTTTTTTCTTCCTAGCAAACATGTGCATAGTTGATCTGCTATTTTTAGCATGGGTATTATATGCATTTATGTTATAGGATTAGATGTATCCTAATTCCACATTTAGATTTGCACAGAGGAGATGCAATGTGAAATGAGGCATTAGTGCAGTTAGTAGGTCTGTTTTGATAAGCAACTGTGATGATGCGGGTAAAGACTTTCTGCATGGTCACCCAGCCTAAAGTTAGAAAACATGACATCATCAGCACAGCTGGGTGGTTGTGCCCTGTACACTATATATATGGCCTCAACTCTCATAATGACGGTGTTTTGCTGCTCAGTTAGGTCGTTTCTGTGGTGGAAACTGTGTGACAGTTGGTGTACAAAGAGAGAGAAATGGTAGGCGGGAAGATCACAACTGTCATTAGGTATCGTTGTGTATTTTTATTTGTTGTTCAAGGGAGGAGGTCTATATTTGTTGGAAGAACAGAGCAGTGTGTTTCAACCACTGACTGTAAAAACAATGGACAGGCTGACAGCTCCCGCAAGTTGATCACCCCTCTGGGTGCTGGTTGCGCTATATATCATAAATCCTGCCTCTTCCATGTTAGTGGATGGGACATCAGCCACACTAAAAAACTCAAAAGTCAAAAAATCTTTCCCAAAGTAGAAGTGGTCATTTTTCTCGATAAGTTTGTTTTTAGCTATTTGATGATATAAAAAGGGGCATGTTTCGGTTGATTTGACAGCTTAGATTGGCAGTTTGATGCCGTCATTCCACTTCTAGTCGCTACTGTGCAGAGTCTGTTGTAAAAAGCCAGATGGTAGCCGCCATATTCATGATATTTTGGCTTCACTTTTTCATAGTGTACGGAAGTGGTGACGCCATTGTCCATTGTATATACAGTAAATGGTTTCAAACGTTTCTCATTTCAAAATTATATAAGATACTGAGCTGGCGCCCGGGCCCAGTTCACTCATTTGGTGGCTTTTATAAGCAGCGCTTTAATCAAAATTAAGAAACAGACTGTATTTTCACTGTTTCATTACTGTATGTTGCTATCAGCGTGTTAGATTGAGAAATGGGAAGAGGGTGTTGCACTTTTACCTAAAACAGGGCTGGGTCAAAAGAAAATATTAATAACCCTCCCAACCCAAGTGATTTTCATTCCTGATCAGAAAGGCCTCATTTCACAATCTGTCTTTGTTGTGCATTACTGTGCTCAAATTGTGAAGGACTCTTAAGCTAATCTCTTACTGATTTATTATTATTTTTTGCCCCTTTTTTGTCATTTTTAAGGAATACAAAACAGTCTAAAGGTTCACAGGATGAATGGGAAAGTATTTTTGAGAGAATTATATTTTGCTGGAAAACAATATTTAAGTACTTTGTCTAAAATGATATCCTTTTTGTAAAATGAAATGTTAATGCATGCTTTTTGATGAGATGTTTACATTGTATTTAAAAAAGGGAAACTTGTGCCTTTTTATCTCACCTGATTTACAGTTTTACAGTATATATTGTAAATAATATAGCAAGTCCTTATGTTGAGTATAGTATAAGACATTTCTACTTTAACCATCTTGTTGAAATATTGAGAAAAAAAAAAACTATGTGTTTCTCACTCGCCATGTTCTGTGTGTTGGATGACAAAGAGTTTATAGTTAGGGTCGGTACCAGAAAGGGCCAAATAGGGAAATGAATGTATAATACATTGTGAGAGACTTATGGAACCTACTACCTGAATGTTAGAGAGAGTACATTTATTATCTTCTTATTAAGTAAAGTTCTTTGATTTGGCATCTTTTTTAAACTTTTTGTATCATTGTTCACGTGGCAAAAAAAAAAAATAAGAATAATGAAAAAAACATTTCTTATTTTGTAACAAGATGTACAGTATCAAGTGATGGATCCTTGAATTGTTGCTGTTGAAATGGTCTCCTAAACAATGGTGGTATTGTTGATGAGCACCACAATAAAATCAAGAAGTCACACACTATTGAAACCAGGATACATGGGAGAAAGTTCTTGACTTTTCAGTTTGAAAACAAACTTTGTGGACACAAAATAATGATGTCATCAAGCCCCCGTTTGACCCCTCCACCCTCTGGATGTATAGGAGTTGACTGCTGGCCATTAAAATTCTTTGGCTATTAAAAAAGGAATAGTTGGACATTTTTCCCTCCAACAATTAGATGAGAAGATCAATACAACTTTCAAGTCTGTGCATTAGATGTGAGACATTAGGAGACTGTTAGCATAGTTAAAAAATGCTTAACCAAACAAAACAAAACAAACAAAAAAAACACCTAGCCAGTTTAATCCTTGTTTAATCCACATGGAACTTGTTACAGTATGTGCCAGACTGAGTCTCCCTGCTGTAAAACCACAACTATTCATTTTTAATTCTGTCTTTGTATGAACTAAACCAATGAGCTATAACATGTTGTAGTGAGCTTCTGAGGTGCTGGTAGGCAGATTTGGTTAGCAGGTTCATTGTTTCCCCATCTCCAGGCCTAATGCAAAGCTAAGCGAACTGTATCCTGGCTGTAGCCTCAAAATGTTGAAACTACTCCATTAAAAGAACAAGATTAATGAACAGTTTATTAATGGTCATCTATCACTGCTTACTGTAAACAATAAATAAAAACCTTTCCCCTATGCAAGAAAGCACTGTTATCTTCAAAGCTGTCCCCTTCTAAATGAACTCTCCTTTTATGCATGAATGGCTCAGATTATGTCCAACTGCTGTTTCACAGTACACTATCGCGTCACCGTACTGCCGTACTGTATGTGGAGTCACATCATTGACATTTTCTGTTCACAGTGCTTAATCGGGTGTAGAGAGACTAAGCCATATCCCCACAGCCATGGCAGTATATTTTTTTTAAAAATGACTTTTTATTCAGATGCTTTGTACAATATTTCTCAGCAACTATCCAGCAAACATACAGTATACATCCTTCAACATAAACCAACAAAAACACCTTTGAAACCAGTCTATCTTGATGCCATACCTGTGTTTGCAGAACTATTGCAAAATTCTAATAAAACTGTTAAATTGACAAGCTGATGTGATATAATTAATGTTTAAGTATGTATGTGCTGTACAGTATGTGTGATTAAAACTGTATTATGAAGCAAAAGCTAGGTTCCTTTAAAAAAAAAAAAAAAAAAAGGGGTTTTTTGATCTGGATGAAGTCACAGCAGCTGGATTTAGTGGACAAGAAGGATAATGAGCCAAAAACACCGAGTTAGCATGGAAAGCGGTAATGATTTGGAGCAGCAGTAGGTACAGTAGTCACAGGGAGAGGAGATGAAGAGGGAGAGAAACTGAAAATGACTGAGATAAAACATGCAAGGATGAGAGTTTTACAGTAAAATGACTCCTGCGGAGAAAAATCACCATTAACCTTGATAAAGGCTGATCTGAAAACACGCCTGCTTTGCCAGACTGTAGAGCAGACAGTATTACTTTTGCTCATTTTTTTCTCTCTCTCCGAATCCACAGCCCTCTCCAAATCTCCCCCAGATTTCCAATTGCTTTCACTTGTAGTTGTGCCAGATAAACAGAATCTATTGGATCAGGCTGATTTCACGGCTGCACCCGCGCACATGGCGGCTTCTGTGTCCCACTTTCTGAGCTGAGGGTTTTTTCTCTCTACACTCTCTCCTTTATGTTTGAAATTCACTTTTCTCCAAATTCCCACTCAGTTTTCAGCCCCAATAATTCATCAAGTCGTATTATGATTATATTTCAGAAGCTCTGCACTCTGAAGGAACCAGATGAAGACAGGAAATAATGAAAATAGTGCAATTTCCACACACTGTAAAGCACATTTCACACATGAACTCCAGACAATGCCAGGTCCAGACTTTGTCCAGAGTTGCCCTTTCACACATGTAGGACGAACCCTAGAGCATGAAGGAGGCGGGAGAAGATGTGGTCAGGTGGCCGGTTTGTAATTTGGTCATAAATTTTAAAGTTCCTTAAATTCATCTAACAGTTCTGACGCTGGCACTTAAAGACAGTTCCTGAATCTCATCATGTGTCTTCACCATCGGATGTTTGTATTCTTGGTCACATCATAGAATGTCATCAACACGCCCACTAGCTCCATGTAAATACTCCAGACTATAACTATACATAGCTGTTTTCTCACATGGGCTCACTCTGGCTCACTCAGACATTACACAGACTTTGCACGAGGGAGCTGGCACGATAAAGTCTGCTTAATGTCCGGGTTGACTGACTTGGACATTTGTGTTCTCACATACAGCCCCTTCAGGTAATGTCTAGATAAATTCAGGGTCTCAGTTCATGTCTGAAAAGGGCTACAGTTAGTAACAGGTTAACTGCTACACCGTATTGATCTGAGTCATGATATGGAACTATGAAGGACACTGCATCAAGGCTGTAGAGGACAGCTGGCACAAGGCCAAAGAAATGAACGTCCATGTCAAGTTTTACTCAAACACACCTACTATAATCAACAAGGTGACTGACTGATGCATAATGCAAGGACAGGTAATGCAACCTGCACCAATGATACCAAAGGCCTCACTAAACCTGACCCACCCAGATTACCACTATTGGTCATTATAGTAGGAAACTTGGGAGGAAAAATAAATGTATGGAGCTCAATTGATTTCATAAATAAATTACCATTAGAGCAGCAGAGAAGAAGTGAAGCACTAACTGAGGAGCAGAAGAAGAAAAGGAAAAAGGAAGGTGAGGAGGACAGATGCAGAGAAAAGTTTTAAATGCTCATGAGAGACAGACAGGTAGGCAGCAGATATAGGAAAAAAATGAAGGCAAACACAACAACAGGGCTTTTTGACTGACAGTCCACAGCAGTGTGAGAGGCAGCCAGGGTAGATGTGTCTATGATTCAGCAGTATTCTGGCAGAGGGAAGATGAGGAAGGACCCCAAGGGGTGGATGGAGGGGGTTCGGTGATAGTGGGGAAATATTTAGCTCATCTCATTAGCCCTGGCTCTTTTTATTATGTAATCATCATGCCTGCTGGTGTGTCCACCAGCTTCAGGGAGCTGGTGGACATATGTGTTCCACAGAAATCACAGTTCCAACCTTTACATTTTTTTTTTTAAATGGTGGACAATCTGGTTGTTTATATTTTTAAAAAGTGCATAGGGACATTCAATGGAGAGCTGAATGTGTGGTGAACTGATGGTAATTACGTAACCGAGGTCAAAGCCCTGAGTCTGGAGGCCATTTGGTGTGGTAATTATGCAGATGTAGTCTAAGAATTAACATGCATGAGGCTGAGACTTTAATGGATCAGGGAGGTGGATTACCGTTTTCCTCTGTAAGAGATTACCATCTATTTTTGATCCTCTTTTGGAAAGTTATTTTGGAAGTAGCTTTTAGTCAGACGGGCCAGTGTAGGTCAATGTGAGGAGGAAGGCTTACATTACACTGCATGGCTCTCTGTAACAGTATTGGCTGCACTTTATTCTTAGACTCTGTGGGGAAACTGTGGGCCTTCTCAGTGACACAATGATGAGTCATCAAAATTTAGACAGCGCTCAATTTCAGTTTGGTAAAACTAGACAAATTTCCCTCCCAAATTTTAAATTCAAACAGAAGACTGTTATTATACAGTAACTCTTCGTATGTGGCCAAAACTGTGGCTTCAGTGCTTTCCTTTATTTTTCTTTGGTGCGTATGGGTTAATGTCAGTCTTACTTTGGAAAACTAATATCTTACCGTCTAATACCATGTAAAATCCATACCCGAAATAATGTTTGTAAAAGTTTTTTTCATGCCTCAGTCAGTTAAATTTTAAGTTATCATTTATCACATTTATTTCATGGCAACAACATATAACTCAGTAAAGAACAACAAAAAAAGAAGCTTTATTTGTTTTACATCGATCAAGAGCATATCCAAACATATAAAAATGAAAGAAGTCAAGGCCCTTTACAAATGCCATAAATCAATGTCTTGAAATTATTGCATTCGCAACTGAAAACACAATCTGGTGAACCAAAGCTCTCAGAAAAATTAAAGTGTCTTGTTGGACAGCTGAGGGATGGAACGTAATGGGATGTACATAGATGGTAAAACCAATCTGAATGAAAGCTCAAGACCTATCCATCACTTACTGGAGATCTGTACAAAATACTTGGCAGTCACAACTTTTTCAGGTCACATACTGTAGTGAGCGTACGTACAACTTAAATACTGCATTTCGTGGCCTTATTGTTAATAAAATGTTGATTTATAATCACATTCCATTTAAGGTGACGATAAAATGAACTAAAAATTTCAGCTTTGCAGCAGTGTCATTTCTTTGCTCAGAGAAAACTGAGCAACGTTTAAAAGAAGCTTTTAAAAACACAAAACAGATCATTTGACAAACACTTGGCTTCAGCAATTACTATCCATTTAAATTTACCTCCGTTGAACGTGTCTGATGTTGGTAATTAACACGAGAGGTTCATCGGGCATCAAAGAGGCGTTTCGATGCGTTTCTGTGAAGGCGTGCACCAGGAACAAAACAGTACAGTGTAGTTCAAATCTAAAAGTCATGCAATCAATGTGACAACTAAATAAAATTAAATTACAATAGCACTGTCTCAATTTGAATATTCTTGAAATAAATGCAATATTTTACAAGTAAAAGCAGTTGACACTTCAAGTCAGTTTCATACACACCTGTTCCAGACATTTACAGCAGATGTTCTGGTGAATAAGGCACGGAGGCAATCTCAAAATCTTTAGCAACTGAAAACTAATTTGACTGCATCACTGTCAATAGGGTTAAAAGCTACAGCCTTCATACAGTTTCTAAGTCGTCGTCCTTTGACTTGGGACCTCATGGATACTGTGTACAACTGGACAGTGGAGAGAGTGAGGCCTTCAACAGGGAGACACTCAAACTCTGCTGCTGCTGCTGCTGCTACAAAGTCACCTGGATGTTTAGACATTACAGCATCTCTGTATACAGCAGGGCATTATAAGTGCAAACCCATTCTGGAAATACAAAGCTGAAATTCCTGTGAATGCTTGACCAAAGGAAATTTGAACAAAAAAACATGCCTGCACATGCACTACGTCTACCTGCCAACCAGTTCAGTCACTTGCTTGAGAGAATTTAGATAAACATGGCTCTACTGTGAGTTGCATGCATCTTCTGCATACTTTCCCCCATGAATATGATAACTTGTCCATAAGTATTTCCATTTGGG